TATATGTGTGTGTGTGTACACATCCATCCAGCACCTGCTGGCAGATCTCGTTTTACATAGCCGTACTCAGCAACAGCAAGGCTCCAATTCGAATCGTACGGCAAGCAGCCGGCATCGACCTGCAAACCTCGAAACCGGATGAGAACACAACCTGTCCCTTGCCCGCCTCTTTGGTGAGAGGTTGCAATCCAGCCTCTAAGTCTTTGATGGTGGTCCGTAGCCTTGCAACGGCAGCATTCCAACCTCGATGTCCCGAGTAGAATACACAGCATAGCATACACCTGACAGAACCCAGCATTACTACACCACCACTGCCGACACCAGCAGCACCGCCACAAACACAACCACCGCGACCCCTGCCATGACCACCACAATGACCACTGCCTCCAACACCGCCCCCAGAAAAACCAGCCCCTGTCACGGCCCCAGCCCAGAAATCACTAGCGCAGCCAGCGTAACTATAAACCGCATCCTTGAAATACCCATGTAATCTGGCCTGTCCGTGTCCTCCTGTAACGTGGCAATCTTCATCGCCATGTTCTCAGGGTTACCTTCCGCCAGCAAGTTGCCTCGGAGACAAACAGTTGTAACTCAGCCACCGCGCGCGCCTTGATCCTGCCCCCCGAAACACAAACCCTGAACCCCAAGCCGGCTAGTACATTTTGCTCGGTGCGCCGGTGCCAGGAAAGTCAAGCCACGTTTACAAAACGCGATGATACCATGTCTTCATGCGCAGCAGTCCGGCGAATCTCTAAGTACTGTAGAACCTGAAAGCTACCCACCCATGGCCCCATGACCATCATCGAATGCTGTCCGTGGCATCAAACACCTTGCCTAATTTTCAGCCGGTGTTCGAACACGCACTTGCTTGAAGAGCTTTGCCCGGACTCGCTCGACCATGCCGATCTCCTGCGAGAGACCCTAACGGCCCTGACCCTGGACTTTGAGATCTCAGTACCAGACATGTGAGGCAGGCTACTTGGCACAGCTCTTTGGAAGCGGTGACCCAACCTGCGCATTGACCCGCTGGATGTCACGCAATCGCCCAAGCTGTGCCATCATCCGCTTCACCTTTCTGGAAGAGAGGTTAAGGACCACAGGTTTGTAGGTGTCGGGTTCAAGAACGAAGCAACTTTCTATTTGGACTTCACAGGGTGCGCTTTATTTCTGCGCTGGTGCCGGCCGGTGGCCGGTGGCGGTGGGGGTAGTGTTGGTCGGCAGAGTGCTGGTGGTTAGCTTTGTTGCTGCCGCCACTACTGTTGTGTCGCTGTCTCTGCCCCGCAAATTGAGCAGATGGAACTGTCTTGGCTCGATACTGCTGTTGGATGGGGGTTCTGTGCTTTCAATAACAATATACTGTAAGGTTCCCTGCATTCAAGCCGCAGATTTTCGAGTTCCAAGTCACCGGGTGAACAAGCAGTAAGCAACCAGCCACCCAATCCCAACCCCAAAGTTCTAGACCCCGAGGCCTTTCCAACCAACTAGACCCCGAAGCCTCAGACTTGCGTCCAATTCTAACCCCTGGCAACCCCTCTTCCTAACCCGCCCCAAAAACCCTAGATAAAGCCCTCAGTCCTGGCCTGGTTGATCTGTGCCTTCAGATGCGTCCGGAGGTCGTCGGAATCCCGTGTGGGTGTGTCCCGAATGGCCAGGAGCTGTGTCTGCGTCTCCGACCTGGGCGGCGCATGTGCTGAACTCGGGTTTGGGCTCGAACAGCTTAGGATCTAGGAAATGGTCTGCATTGGATCAGGAAATCAATCAGGCAGAGTTCAAGCAAGACTAAAAAAAAGACTGCACAAGGATGCGACAGGTTTGAGGGGATTCGGGCTTAGGTTACAAGACATAAATAACACTGTACTGGTCTTGAGGTTGCAGACGGTTACCGGTGTCGGGGCGCCCCTGACGCCTTTGCACATGCCGGGAAAACCCACCCACCCACCCACCCACCCACACACACACACACGCACAAATCCCACCCCAAAAACCTGAACTTGAACCCCAACTGTCCGAACTCAGAACCCTGAACATCACATCTCCGAAGGCCCTGAAAATCGAAATCCGATCTGCAACTTCTCGCTGAACTTGGCGATGTCTCTCTCGTAAGAGCTGATCTTCGGCCAAACCTTCTCGGACCTCGGCGTCGAGATTCCATGAGTATCCGACGAGGTGCAGGATGAACAAGCTCTGCAAGTACAGCTTTAAGGCATTGAAGGGTATGCGGTATAGGCCTCATTACTGCAGGACACTTTTTGGGAGGTGATGGGGCCGAGCCAAACTGGAGCCGGCCGACTCCCAGCCAACACACCGCATGATCCGAGAAGCAGAGTGGGTCATAGGTATTCATGGGTCCTATCCGGCCTCCATACCTCAGCTGGAAGTCTGCTACACCCGTGACGCAGCCACTGCCCCAAACCCCAACCTTGTGGGTCTACCGCAATGGCAGTCATTGGGTCCGGGCATCACAACTGAAGTTCTCTTCCCAGCGGGATTCCCGCCCTAAGCAGCGACCTCAACTTGAAGTAAAGATCGAATGACCAACTATACCGAATTTTGCCGCACGATCAGACGTAGCAACATAGACGCACACAAAAACACAATCTAGAATCCAATCGCCGCGAACATGGCGCCCCTTACGAGCATATGCATCCCCAGCCAATCGCAAACCCCAAGCGCTGACAAGTGCAAGCTCAAAATAGCCACTTCCAAATGCCCTTAAATGCTCCACGAGGCCTGTAGTCTGAAGCTCAACTCACCCCAAAACCATCACACCCTATTGGCCTTAAGTACAAGACAGTCTTCCAGACCATCATGTCCTTTGTGTTGTAGATTGGTGTCACAATGCCTTTTTTTCTAATCAGCAATACGTCACTCTTCATTCCTTGTTTACCTTGAGCAGCTGCTAAACTCAAAAACGCTAAAGCTCTGAACCGTTCAGGGAATTCCAAGGCCCCAAACCCCAAAACATTGCTGAACATCTGCCACGACACTCTTTTCTGAGCCTCTGCACGAGATCTGCCAAACTCCGGGCTTCTGGGCCCTCCTCATCCAGGACCTGCAGATACCAAGAAACCACCAGCCGACCACCAGGAGACCATTAGGACACGTCCAAAATGCCTTCCTCAAGTACTAGCTGTCTTCAGGAGTACGTCCGAAATGCTATCCACCAAATACTGGCGGGATGCAGGAGCATAGCCAAAGTGCTTTCCCAAGTACTTCCGTGATTCGCAAGCCACAAAATGCTTCATGTATTGGAATGTTAAAGCACTGTGGGCTTCCGTGGGACGAGGCCTGACGAGTAGGCAATGTGACGTGGGCAAGAAGTACGCGCTGCGCCACAGCGGGAGCCGCGTTCCGGGAATTTTGCACGTGCACTGTGCTGCAGGCGCAGAATGTCAATTCAGTCGGCTGCTCCAAGGCTTCAGCGTTAGCACGCATACATGAGTTATCCCACTTCTCGGGTACCGACTCCTTCAGCGATGCACTGTGCTGTGCGTCACGTACAAAAACCTCCGGACACAGAGTTTACCCACTGGTGTTGGGTACATGCCGACGATCATGCATCTGCGTCGGCACGAATACCCATGCAACCATGAAACCACCCACAGATGCTCCTAGTGCCATGATGCATAGCAGGCGGCTCCGCAGCCAGGAGGGAAAGAACTGATCACTATTAGTGATGCCTAAGTCATTCAGTTTCTGCATATATGATGGCCTTAAGTACCTGCTATGGGAATCCAGCTCAGGATCCATCATTAATGACTACTTACATAGGCCGTTGAATAACATTCTGACCTACGATGAGAGCAACGACCCAGGTGGTCCCAGCAACAATGAAACCCTAATGCCAAAGTGACATGCTAGCCAGGGGCTTGTCTTCCACTGCATTACACTACATTACACTACATTACAATACATGACATGGCATTGCAATGCATGGCGTTGCATTCCATTACATTGCACTACAATACATCGCACTACCCCACACTCCCTTGTATGATATTATACTACATTGCAATGCGATACACTGTGTTACGCTACGATACACAGCCTAGCACTGCATAGCCTTGGAAGTAGCATAGCACAGCACACACTGCAGCAGAGCAGACCATAGCATAGCATTAACATAGCAATAGCACAGCAGACGCACAGCTTGAGCATAGCATAGAATAGCAAAGCAAAGCACGGCTCTGCCAGTGGGTTTGCATCAGCCACCTTCCCTTAGTAACTCACCTCGCCTTGAGTTATATCATAGCAAGTCATTGCCTTGCATAGCATAGCCGGCCGAAAATATAGCATAGCATAGAACAGTATAGTATTGCATGACATATCCTGGCATGACATAGCAGACGGGTCTACGTTAGCATCTGCATGTGTACGTACATGTGGTATGTGCATAAAGGTATATGATATATGAGTGCATGTACAGCGTAATTATATATGACTGTATATTTGTGTGTATGTGTGTAGTGTGTAGGTGTGTAATTGTGTAAGTGTGTAAAGTATGTATGTAAGTAAGTATGTATGTATGTATGCATGTGTGTAGGTATGTATGTGTGCGTGTATGTATGTACGTAGGTATGTCTGTCTGTCTGTCTGTCTGTCTGTCTGTCTGTCTGTCGGCATGTATGTATGCACGTATGTATGCGTATGCATGTATGCATGTATGTATGTATAGATGCATGTGCGTATGTGTGCGTGTGTGTGTGTGCGCGTGCGTATGTATGTGTGTGTGTGTATGT